TCATCAAGTTGATACTGACTCATAGTGAGCCCCTTTGGGTTTCCGAGGTGGTAAATCTTTATGGAAGTTGATTGCTCAGTCTTCATTCCACGGAGTGGCTGGTGGGTTTGAACCATGAACTTTCTGGTTAGCAGTCAAATGCCTTAGGCACTGCACCACCAGAGCTCCTCAGGCCTCTCACATCTGCATCTGTGTTTTAACCAGGGCTTCCAACCAGTACAAACTGCTTCAGTCATGGCAGATGCAGTGAATCTGGGCAAACCCGATTGATAAGGAGAATGGGAAAGTTTACAGGTCAAAGCTCTGGAGTGGGAAACTTAGAAGGGTTATAGTGAGCCCTTGCAACAACCTTTTGTGGGAGATTAGATTATTGCCAGGACTGTGGAGCATAACACTCAAAGCTATGTTGTTGGCCACCATCTTTGCGCTGGGTACCACTGTTTCCCACTCTGCCAGTCAAGAAATGTGGTTGCTCTGAAGCACACACACACTGCCCTTATATTCTAGGAGGGAGATTAAAGTTTATACTAGGGTGTTGACGTGTGATTTTCCCTATTCCAGTTATCATTTTACAAATTTGGGACTGAACTGGGAAGAACTTGTTCGAAGCCTTGGTTTTAACAGGATGTCCCTGAAATTTCCACGCACATCACAGCTGCAGAAGTGCTCGTGTGAATCACACTGCTCTTGTATCAGTGTAATCATTTTAATTGCCTGTGTTTGGACCTGGCTTTTGCTCATTAAATGAATTATGAGCAATCAACTTAAACTCCTTTTTTAACTGAGCCAGATTCTTTTCAGATGGGAGAGTGTGAACACTCTAAAGCAATGGTTCTCCATGGGACATTTGCATCGGAAAACCCAAAAAGATTTTTTAAGAATAGCAAATTCTTGGGCTTTACCCCAGGTCTCAGCTCACTCACTGCCCTGGAGTGTTTTCCAACTCATAATGACCCCTCGTTGGGTTCGTAAGGCTGTAAATCTTTATGGAAACAGACTGACTGCCTTTTCTTTCTTCCATGGAGCAGCTGGTGGGTTTGAACCACTGAAATTTTGGATAGAAGCCTTTTTTACTTCAGGGCTACTAATTACTAATTTGTCTTCTAAAAAAGCTCTACAGGAGGTTCTTCCTTATATATACCCTTAGAGCCACTGATAGATGGAAAAGTATATTAATTTCCTTGCGTCATTGTAGTAGTCTGTTTTTGGGTTGCAGTGTTTGTTCCCCCTTCAAAAGACAGTCCCAGGGAACTTTTATATTCACAAAGACTTCTAGCCAAAGAGTAGGAGTAAATAATCTAAAAGATGGGGCCTGCATAGTTCTGCTCTAATTAAAAAGTGAGAACTGTCAGAACTTTCCTAATCTCTTTATCATGACTCAGTCATGTATGCAAACTTCTTCCTTACTGGTTTAAACCCAAGCATGTATTTTTAGAGGGTGGGAGAAAACTTTCAAATTTAAAAAAGGGAAAGCATTTCTAACAGAACAGTGAAATTTAATTTCTTACTCAATTTGAAAATAATTTACAAAACAACTGACATTGTTTGGCATATTTTGTCTGTTTTGAAGGATAACAAAGCTGATGTAATTTTAAAATACAATGCAGATGAAGCTAGAAGTCTGAAGGCATATGGCGAGCTTCCAGAGCATGGTAATGTCTGAATTGTTGTATTAACCTATCTTGTGATAAAATTGTTGGTGTTTGGATGAAGGATTTTGGTATCATTTTTTGTGTATGTGTGTGTGGTTACGTGATTAGTGGTTATGTGATTAGTTTTCAGTGTACCTGCCTATACTTTATAATACTGGATAGTATAATATAGAAGGAACTGGAATCTGTTCCTAATAAATACACTTGGTGAGCAGTTATACTTAATAAGCCCTGGGTTTCACTATCACACCATTTAATGGGATAGTTTTATGACAGCATTTAATTAAAAAAAAAAAAAAACTCTATGAAGACAGTGTTACTGTTCATCTAAGTTAAATATGAAGTAAAGACAGTAATTAGATGGTGTTGGTTTTTACTTTCTAAAAGTCAGTTTTCAGTTCATCTTACACTAGTATTATAGTGTCCCATAAGATTTTTTTAAACCAACATTCTTTTTTCACCCCCTTAAGTAGAAAGAAATGGATTCATAAGGCAGAAAATGAATAAAACAAAAATAAGTCCCTTATAACCTCAACACAGGGGAAATGTAGTATACATACTATTATACATAATACATCATGAACTCTGGAAGCATAGTAAGGCATTTGGCTCTAACCAAAAGGTTGGTGGGTCAAACCCACCAGCTGCTCTGAGGAAGAAAGATGAGGCAGTCTGCTTCCATAAAGATCTACAGCCTTGGAAACTCAGTGGGGTTCACTATGAGTCAGAATCAACTCGATGGCAATGAGTATATGTAAGACATATTATTTTACTACATATTTTACTTTGCAGTTTTGTTTGTTTGGCTCTGTTGGATTTTGTCATGAAAGTAGCATAATTTCATTATCTGAGAACAAGACACAAATTTCTGGTCCACTTTTATTGCTTTAGGGATAAGCATGATTTAGGAGTTCTGTTGATACGGTGTCCAAGGCATTTATTTGACTGTTAACCGCAAGGCTGGCGGTTCAAACCCATCAGCCACTCCTTAGAAGGAAGACCTGGGAATCTTATTTCTGTAGAGATACCGCCTCGGAAGCCCAAGGAGGAGTCGCTATGAATCAGATCCAACTTGATGGCAGTGAGAAGTATGATTTGACCAAGTCTTTCTGGTTGATTTGATGAGTCTGATGGTTGGTGAACCAGGGGTTCTTATATTGGGAGGCTAAGTTGTTAGCACTTACTTGGAAGTTGTGATAGCTTCAGAATTAGCTTCGAGCCACCTGAATACAACTACTTTTCTGAACAAAGGAACAATATTGCTCTGCATAGTAGGGTGGTTGGGTAGAAGTTAGGATTTTTTTATAATGAAACTTTGTTGAATTAAAGGTTGATTCTAAGAGTCTCCATTCATAGTCCAGCATTGATCTCAGACCCATTTTAGTGGACAATTACTTACTTTAATAATGTCTTGATTATGTTAAATGAATGTATTTGTTATTGTGTTTTTAGCTAAAATCAATGAAACAGATACATTTATTGAATACAATTTTTTATATCTTTAGCTAAAATCAATGAAACAGATACATTTGGACCTGGAGATGATGATGAAATCCAGTTTGATGACATTGGAGATGATGATGAGGACATTGATGATGTAAGTAGACAAACCTTAAATTTTTCAATTTTGTTAGTGAGTTATCCACAGAAGAATTAGCTCTTCCCCTAACTCCCTTTAATCTGAGAATACTGAACACCTAAGATATATTTTGAGTTTGTCATTAATTAATTAACATACTCAATATTATTTAGAAGCCAGCTGGTCAAATTCTTTATACTTTGAAAATTCTTATAATCATTTCCTGTAAAGATCAGTATTTGCTTTGGCAATATGAGTACTAGACCCTCTATCATCATAACTTATTTAATGAAGAGTAGTGCTAAGGCATTTGACTGCTAACCAGAAGGCTGGTGGTTCAAACCCACCACTCACTCCTCGGAAGGAAGGTTGGGCAATACTTCCGTAGTGATACTGCCTCAGAAACCCAAGGAGGTGTCGCTATCATTTGGATCTGATTCGACGGCAGTAAGTTTGGTTGTCAAAGTTTTGGAAAGAGGTAGCTATTAAGAAATTTAGCAGACAATTATAAGAAATATATCTCAAAGGAGTTAAAAGCCTTGTTGCCAATGGGGTGATTTTTTTTTGTTGAGTATTCACTATTTGCCAACTCTTGGTTTGGCATTGGTCTCTTTATTTTGATGAAAATGTATTGGTTTTCCTTATAATGAAAGCAGTGATGCCCACGAGAGAGATGACTCACTGCTTCTGTTACTTGAATGAAATTCAGTATACTTTTTTTCTGACAGTGTAAATTTATTGAAAGACTAGAGGATGGTATAAGGTACTATTAAATCTTATCTAGATACTTTTTAAAATTCCCTTTAATAAAAATGTAGTTCAGAAACCCCATGTTTACAAGTCCAAAAATAATAATGTTCATTAATGTTTTGATTCAAAGATGAAATGTTAAAATATCTAGAGCAGTGGTTCCTGAGCAAGGTTGTACAAGAAAATTACCAGAGCTTTTCAGAATTACTGAGGCTGGTCTTGGCAAAGTCTGAGTGATACCCAAACCAAGATTGACAATTAATATTTTTCTATACTAAAGTTATTGCATATTTATTTATCAGTCCATGTTATATTTTGATGCATCTCCAAACTGTTTAGAAAATTCATTCTATACCCACAACCATATATAGGCTTGGCAGAAGATACTTTATGTGTGCTGTAAATATATCCATGTATGTAGTAGAGAAAATGTGGCAAAGTTAATGAAAACTACTTAGCCATAACCAAATACCATGTGGGAATGAGTCAGTGGGCTTGGGACCACAGTCTCAAGGGATACTAAGGTCAACAATCATAACATAGTCCACAGAGGGAGTGTACTACATCCTACTTTGGTGAGTAGTGACTGGGGTCTAAAAAGATTGTGAGCGACCATCTGAGGTGCAACTATTGTTCTCTCCCTGTCTGGAGGAAAGAAGAATTAAAAAAAGACTCAAAGAAACAATTAGTCCAAAGGACTTAAAGGACGATGTGAACCCCACATCGTCTACTACCCTGAGACCAGAAATAATTGGGTGGTTCCTGGTTACCACTACTGGTCACTCTGATTGGGACCACCAAAGGTCCTGGACAGAATGGGACAAAAATGTAGAATAAAATCATAAAACAGACCAGACTTTCTAGTCTGATAGAGGCTGGTAGAACCCCAAGACTGTGGCCTTTAGTTACCCTTCAAATCTGGAACTGAACCTACCTCTGGGGGAATCACCTTGTAGCCAAACAGGTCTATAAGTGAACAGTAACGCCCATGAGGAACATATTCCCCAGGATAACCATATGAGACTAAAAACTCAGCATTTGCTGAAAAACGAAGCTCAGAATGCAGGAGGGGGCAGGAAAGAGGATGGATGGAATTGGGGAACCCTGGGAGAGAGGAGGAATAGTGCTGTTACATCGAGGGGATTGCAGCCAATACAAAATGTGTATAAGTTGAATGGAAAACTTATTTGCTCTGTAGACTTTCATACAAATCACAATTTGTAAAAACAGCTCACCCTGTGAGTTCAAGAAAAATCGAGTACATATCACCAGTATGTATTTATGAATTCCTACGTATATACTACTATTCTCTTAATGTCTATGTACATTTTAAAATATACCCAGAGAAAAATGAAAAGGAATGAGAAATGTATTTATCATTCTATTTTCTTGATGTACCTTCCTTTGGAGACCCTCAGCCAGAGGATTCTTTTGACTAAACTGTTAATACTTTGGCAGTACAATTTCCAATTTCACTCTGTGGCAAGAACCTGGCATACAGCTTATTATGTGGTGAGTTAAGGGCAGATCCAAACCTAATTTTTTTTTTAATGCATTTTATTGAAATATAATTTATGTACAGTGAAATACACAAAACTAAAGTGACTGGGTCAATGCAGTTTTTTTTTTCTGTGCAGTGTTCCCTTCCCTCCTCTCCCCCCACCAAACCGAATTTCTTAAAGACTTCGTGCCCCCCCATGTGTTCCCAGCCCCCAAATACACTACCTAAACGTTAGCACAAAGGGAAGGAGGTGCTAAACTTTAAGACTATTCTACATAACAGAACATTAAGGAGGTGATCACATTAAGGAGGTGATCAAAAGGATTTTCCGTAGCAGTCCAGAATTGAAAAATCCAGTATCCTCAATTTCTTCTCCAAATGGGGTTTGTTTCCCAGATTGCCTAGGGGTGTGAAAGTTTTTATTGTATGTAGTAAATTGATGCGATACAGGAATTTTTTGTTTGTTTGACCTGATGTTCTTTTCACTTCCAGATCTAAACTGAACACAACGTTTTACATTCCATTTTTTTCTGAAGATTGTCCTACAGTTTGGATTTTGGATCTGGCCCATTATAGAAGAATAGAAGATTAAAATTTCATTAGCATGAGTGCAATTTGTTAAAGCAGACTGATTTGTGTTTAAGGTATTTGTTTCTTTAAAAACGAATACTGCTGAATTATCTTAAGTGAAATATTAAGCCCACATTTTTTTTTTTTTTTTTTGATGTAATCAATCTTCTGGATAAAAGGCCACAACATCTACTGTTTTTAAAAGAAAAGTAATTGCACCTTTCCTACTTTGACCACTTTACTTTTGTGAAATGGGTATTTTGAGTGAATCATATTCCCTATACTCACTATGGGTTCTGAATAATTCTTAGTTTTGACTAGTCAGGAGTTCTGGTGGCACAGTGGTTAAACATTCAGCTGCTTACCAGAAGGTTGGTGGCTTGAACTCACCAGCTGCTCTGCAGGAGAAAGATGAGACAATCTGTGAAGATTTACAGCCTTGGTAACCCTATGGGGCAGTTCTACTCTGTCCTTAGGGTCACTGTGAGTCAGAATCACCTTGATGGCAGTGAATTTTGGTTTGAGTTTGACTAGTCTCTGTACACACTCTTCCTGTATATTTACCTGGATATTCCCTTCAGATTTTGACATAATTCAAAAGAAGCAGAAATCTCCATTTGAAGTCAAAATGAGTAGGTTTGTTTTTCTTACATAAGTAGCATGTGGCTATTTTTATAGTAATTTTCATATCATATAATTCCTTCCATGATCTTATGTTGCTACCATAGACATGTCAATGAAAAAACATTTCCAAACTGCAATTTTTGGAGCTTTGGTTTTAATAGCAGTTTTGAATTTGTAAAGGTAGGAGTTGCAGAAATTGAACGGTAGGTGGCACCAAATTATCTTAACATCGGAAAGAATTGATAAATTGTGACTGTGTTTTTACATCATGTGCATAGGAAATTTCCCAGATTATGTTTTGATGACATGCATGTATGTAGAATATTTTTACAGAACAAAAAGGTTATGTTAAAAATGTCATTTTCAGAAGTCATACATCGTAAGCTACAGTTTTAAGTGCTTATAAACACTTGAATTATGTATAAATGAAAATCTAATTTCATAACAATTTGTACAAATTAAGTCTTTTTAAAACTATCCCTAAGCTAGGGAAAGAGGAAGGAATCACAGCTCAGTGAAATAAAGAAAATGTGCTGCAGAGTATACCCTTACTTTATGTTAAGGATTTATTTTATTTGTACATTTTTTTCTTTGTATTTTATTGGGGATCTAGGTTTTTCTTTTTTCTTTTTTTTTTTTCTTTAGTTTTTAATGTTATCAACTCTAATAAGATGAAAATAAGGGCTGAGCTAGTTAGATCTCAGTGGCTACTTCTAAATCTTAAACAACTTTCAAAGATGAGATCAATCATGTAGCTTGTGAATTGGTCTCGAGAGAAGTTTTCAGTGGTGAAAAGCAATATAAAGAGAAATAAACTATCCTTCACATGGTTTGAGAAAATCAACAAATCTTTCCTAATCCCTTTCTGGTATAATTACCTTTCCTAAATGTAAATCTGATATGTATTAATTAAATCTTAAGTTGAAGAATAGGAATTAAGAGTGCACAAAAATCTGGTTTATGTTTCTTACTCTGTGGAATTCCTGGACACTTACTAGGTGGAATGCGTCTGAAACCAAGGACTGGTTTGTAATATTTGTGAGAAATCAGCCTTGAAGACTTGCCTGAATGATGTCTTAAACAAAGTCTAACCTTCCTAAGACATTTCTGCCTCTATACAACAGCTGAGGATGGCACAGGACCAGGCAGTGTTTCTTTCTGTTGTACACAGGATGGCTGAGTTGGACTCAGTAGCACCTAACAATGACACACAAAAGTGTCATGCCGGAATTATAGTCCATTTCCTTCCACATTATTTTCCTAAGAGTATGTGAACTCTGCACATGGGATACAGGTCCTGAGAGGGATAGTGCAACCTAAACAACCTCCTCTAACAAATATGGTTTGACTATGAGTTGGGTCCGACTCAACGGCACATAACAACAAGTAGTCTAAGATTACAACTGTTACCCCAATTCATGTGTTTGCTGGTGGGTTCTTTTTTTCCTTGCCAGGTAGTTAAAGCCCAATCTAGTGCTGTTGGGAGCTCTGGTGGCATAGCACCTAAGGCATTTGACTGCTAACCAGAAGGCTGGTGGTTCAAATCCCCAGCCACTCCTCGGAAGGAAGGTTGGGCAATCTACTTCGGTAGTGATACCGCCTCGGAAACCCAGGGAGGGGTTGCTGCAGTGAGTGGGTTTTTTTTTCCTAGTGCTGTTGCATTCTGGAAAATCTCAAATCACAATGATTAATCATAGTTGGGACAAAGTTGTAGCTTATAAGCAACACTACTCCGAGGAGTTATTTTCCTAACATATATTTCATGTGGAAATGGTACAGTTTCATTGATTTGATTATATTTCAAATAAGGAATAGAAGTGATCTTTAAGGAAATTTTTTTGAGGGGCAGGGAGGGGTAATATTTGGTTCCTATAATACCATGACATAAGCTGTGCCCAGAAAGAAAGAAAAAAATAAACAATCCAAGAATAATAATACTTAATGCTAAGGGTGTGTAATAGTACTACTAATGAATTTGATAGGGTTGCATTTTTGACAGTGTCTGTACTTCCAGTTCAGAGTATAAATATGTTATATTACTAAGGTGGCTAAATAACCAAACTTAATCATTTGTGTAAAATGACTTGCCAAGATTTAATTGTTTGTTGAATCTTCCTTGAACATCCAGCTTCTAAAGAGACCATCTCTTGAACCTGTACACTGCATGATGGAAGGTCTTGTATTATGTTAGGGAATGACCGTTGGTTTTCCTCACCACATCTGTGGAATTGTGGCTATAAAGCTAGTTGCTTACAAAACTCTTGTGATTAGTAGTTTAATCTCTCTGTTGTATAAATATTATAAGATGTTGAATAACATCTCTAATAGGTATAAATGATCAGTATTGACTTCAGAGCAACTCTTAATAGATAAAAGCATGTTTTCAATAAAATAGCTAGATTTATAACTGATATTTGTATTGCATACAGATTTAACAACATCCACCATTAACTGTGGCTTGACAGTTCTAGTAAAAGTGAGGTGGTTTATGGTACCTGTCGTGAAGATTAAAGGATTTGTATTGGTATGATTTGTTTATCCTGCTTAGTTAAGGGTGAGTTTCATTTACACTGTTTCAGGTCCCGTGAACTTTTGCACACTATTTGGTGGTGTGGGGTTTTTTGTTTTGTTTTGGTCATTTTAACCATTTGCAAGTGTACAATTCAGTGGCACTGATTATATTCACCATGTGCAAACCATCACATTTCAAGAAGTTGTTCTTTACCCTCAGTAATTCCCACCAGTTTGTGCTTTTTTTTTTAACCATCATTCATTTTATCCACGTGTTTTGCTTCTTACTCAGGAAATAACAATCTGAATTAAGTCTTACTACAAATTTGATAAAGACGTTGGATTGTCAGAGCATGAAATGAGGAATTTGGAGAGTGTATTGGATTTTGCTTTACCTTCTCTTCCCTGCCAGCTGAGAAGTAATTAAGAGGCAGTGTGATGGAGAGGTGAAGACCATGGGCCTGTACCTAAACCCCTACTGTGCCCCTCTACTGGCCAGTGTCCCCAAGACATCTCCAACTTCTCTCAGCTTCAGGCTCCTCCCCTGTAAAATTGGGAATGATGAGAATAGAACCAGCCTGGAGGAATTAGAGGGAGGATTAAATGAGGCCTATGTACAATGCACATAGAACAGCACTTGATGCTTCTCACGTGGTATCCAGGACTGTGTCATAGAGAATATACACATCTTTTATATTCTATAATTGGCATTTACTTTACTCAGCCTTCGATTCCTATAATAGAGCATGTAGTATATATATTTGTATACCCATGTCCGCACAGTATTTAAAATAATAGCTGCCATCTTCATTTCATTTAACATAAGATTAACTTGAAGATTGCAGATCTATAAATTACTTGAGGATACTTCACAAAATACCATCTGCTCTTTATTTCCTAGAGAAAGTGTATAGTTACTATTGATAGCTCTGGTCATATTTCTTAAGTCTTTAATAAGTCCTTTTACATCCTTTCATTACAGATTCATGACAGCTAATTAGTACTAATTAATTTGGAGGTTTCCTTTGCCATCATATTTGGAATGATGTAAAGAAATCAGATGCAAGCTATTGCAATTTGAAAATAAAATATGAAGTAACATTCAATGATGTACACAATCTTTTTTTTCAAGTTTCGTAACCTCAAATTCACACTTCTATTCATGCTAATTCTTTTCTGAAAGTGTGTGTGTGTGTGTGTGTGTGTATATCTTAATTTTGATAACATGAGGGAAAAGGTATACTTAATCTTTTTTTATTTGTGTGTTTGGTTGTTTCAACGTACTTAGATTCCAAATATGAGGTTATCTTTTCTGGGTGAGTGAGCTTTCCACAAACCTGTGCTGGAGAAGACATTTTCTAATGGTCACTAAATTGTGAAAAATTACCTCACATTGCCAAAATTACATTCAAGAAACCTTACACCATAAAACCCTTGAGAGCTAGAACCCAGTGAATGGGACTGCTTTGTTTTTCCAGGTCTCAAAAGATTTCTGCATTTGTCAGAGTGCAGTCTCACCACTTTTCTATCACCTGTTTCAGTGGAAAAATACTTGTTTTCCTCCTCAAAGTTCACAGAGGTTCCAGCTTTCACAGGTTTTATTGTATTATGCAAAGACATAGCTGAAGTAGATATATAGATAGATATTTCTGAGTAAAGTCCCATGGCAGATTTAAACCATTGGGCTGTCAGCTATAGAATGACTTCGGTATTGAGATTTTTTAAAAAATCACTTCTTAGTTTGTATGACAAAATGGGAAGTACTGCATAAAGTACTTGGGTCAAGGAAAAGCATTTGTGTGGTTGAGTTGTGAGCTGAACTAGCCAACTGACAAAATGGTTATAAAAATGGGTTTATGGCCAGCCAACATTTTCTCAAAAATGAAAATGAGCTTGTCACTTTCAAGGAAAACAGTGTTTATGGCTGATGATAAAATTTGAGATTTTTGGAAAACTAGTATCCACTGCCATTAACTTTGACAACTTCATAGTAGAATGATTTTCCTGAAGAGATAAGTGATAATACTTCTGAATGTGACGTTTTAATATTGTAGAATGA